CCGCCCCGGGACCCGCCCGTGCCACACCGCGACCTGCCCCGCACCGCCCCGGGACCTGCCCCGCACCGCCCCGGGACCCGCCCGTGCCACACCGCGACCTGCCCCGCACCGCCCCGGGACCTGCCCCGCACCGCAGTCTGCCCCCACCGCACCGCCCGGCCCTGCTGTGGGGCTGCGTCTGCCCCGTCCCCGCGCTGAGCCCCCCGCAGGCGCTGCCTGCCGAAGTCCTCGAGGTGCGAAGGCGCCCGCGGGCGGCTCCGCGTGTAAGAACAAGCGCGGGAGGGCTTCGGAGGCCTCAGGCCCAGAAGGAGAGAATGCCGCTCCCCAGTGAGGTGCTCCAAGAGATGGGCTGGGAGCAGGAACCGGGTGACCCACCTCTCCAGGGAGAAACTGGGCATGGAGCAACCTGCAAGGTTTGGGCCCAGCAAGGTTCGGGTCCAGCACCAGTTAATGGTGAGCCAAGCCTGCCGAGGTGCATTTTCCATTGGAATTCTTCACAACCAGACCTCCTTGGGATGCCTATTTCCTGGTCACACAGTGTTGAAGGCTTTGCACAGTAGCCACAGTCCTTCCTCCATCTCAGCACCCCACAGCTGGACCAGCAGCACCCTCGCTTTGGTGGCCCACAGTGCCATGCCTCCTGTTCTGCCTGGGAAGGTGGGAATGCTGGGCAAGAGGAGCAGGGCTGGCTCTATCCTCCTTGTTGATGCAGAGATGCTGTGGCACCAAAGGAAGACGACTAGCTCTGCTGAGACTCAGACTGATGATCTGAGTACAGGGGAGTTCTCATACAGCCATACGGCTTGCCAGGCCCCTTGGGAAGCTGGCACAACCCTGTGCTGAAGTCCTGGCCTGTTCAGCACCAGTTGGCACTGATGTCCTGTGCTGTCTGGCTGGCATGTTCCTTTTATGCCTCCTGGCTTTCCACAGATGCTCTCCCCAGAGCTGTACAGCTCTTCTACTGGTTATGGAGATCTGCTGGGCAGCACCACTAGGCAGTGCTGGTGTCCTCTGTGTGCACCTGTCACTGCACACTTGTAGATTAAACATAGCCAAAGGACACGGCTCCATCACGAAGCTACACCAACCCCATTCCTGGGCTCCTCCAAGTCCCCCACACAGACTGGTATACTGTGCTCTTCCCAGTGAAGCAGGTCTTCTCCACAGCATTCCCCTTTATTATTTCTTGCTTTCTCCAGCCCACATCTCCATCTTTCTTTTCCCTCAGTCTGGCTTCTTGCCCATGGATGGCACTGATGGACACTGCTGAGATCTCACATGTATGTTTTGTCTCTCCTGTCCCCAGATTCAGATTCTTTCTGCTTATAGAGGGTCAGCACATGTGAAATATTCCTCTCCAATGCCTTCCCCTTTGCCTAGTCCTGTCTGCTCTTTCCCTAGCCACCAGCCTTGCCTATACCTGACATGTTCATCCTGCACCAGGCAACCTTTGGCAAATCAGCATCATCCTGTGCTGTATCTTCGCTCTATTTCCAGAGCAGCACTTCATCCTCAGAGTGAAGAATGCCTGTTAACATGGAATTAATTGGTACTTTATGACCACAGAACCAAAACACTCTATTTGCAGATCAACCACTTTTTGCTCAGTTGGTCTCAAAAGGAGTGGCTCATTGCTGTTCATGTAAAATGGGCTGGCCAGAGGTTAGGGACCCATAAAGCAAGGCACAAACAAATTCCCTTGCCAGATTCACATGGCAAGTATCATTTGGAAAGACACTGTAACACCTCTGTTACAGAATTGAAGAAGTTTTGATGGAAAGGGACAACAGGAGTGTAAGGAGTTTCCAGAGGTCCCTTCCCAGCACCACACTGATGATCAACACAAGATCAGCCATGGTTCTGCCTACCTGAGCCATAGCACCTTCCATGGCCAGACATTCCCCCACTCATCTGGTGACCTCTGTCAAGGCTGCACCATCCCGATATTCCACCTTAACCTTTCAGGACTTCATGGTTACTGTTCCTTAATGTATCACCAGGCACTGCCAAGAAGGTTTTGAGTCCATCATCCTTGAAATTGCTTCATCAGTATTTGTAGACTGCTGTTGGGTCACATCCTGCTACTTCATCACCAGGGAAAAGCAGCCCAGCTCCTCCACTTGTATCCAAGTCCCTCCCTGTCTCCACCTTGGTTGTCCATCACTGATGACTCTGGCTTCTCAATTTTGTGGGTTTCAATGCTGGACAAAAAAAATATGATTTTATAACAGAGACTCATCTGCCAGTTCAGTTTTAATCCAGACCACATCTGTTTATTATTTACAGAGTGGGATTGCTGATTGATTTGGACAAGATGATTTAGAGAACTGTTCCAGAGTCAGTAATTCATTGTGCTTGCAACCCCCACACAGGACTGAGGAGTGTGCCCAAACTGTGTCTTTGCCCACCTGGTCCCCTCATGAGGCCAGCATGAACTTTGTTTTTGAGTGACCTCAGCATCCTTTGATGCCAGTACTAGACCCTCCCTCAGCTTCTCTGGAAAACAGGATTAAATCCTGAGTTTGGCTGTTTCGAAATCTCCCTGCACTCAGGTTGTAACTGCTGTGAGTGCAGCTGAGCAGAACTGGGGTCAGGCATCACCTGGAATATAGCATTGCTGCCAGCACCCATTGTTGTAGACAGTCTTTGGGATAACTCTCTTCTGATTTGAAGAAATAATAATAATAGTAGTAGTAGTAATAATAATAATAACAATCTGACATTTTAGCATTTACTAATAGGGATTGTGGCAGTCTTCCCTGAGAAAATGCCTCTGGGCTCAGGATACCTCCATACCTCACTGCCCAGATGGAACCTTCCTCCCTCTAGGGAGTTCAGCCAGCCCTGCATCAGCACACATCCTTACCTGCATCCTTACCTGCAATGTGCATGTGTGGACATGCATAAGCATCTATTGTGGCCCTGATTTACAGGTGTGTTCCCCCCACCCCCGAAAGAGAAACTCATTACTGCTATGTTCTTCCCTTGAAACCAATATTACCTGGAATCAGGAAAAGCAAAATGCAAACAAAGGTGGTTACTCACAGTATCAGCCATCCCCAGGTGGGTGGTTGTGACCTGTATTGTGTTCCCTGGTGCAGTGATTCTGCTTTGGCAGCCCCTGTGTACAGCTCTGTGAAGGAGCAGCAAGAGCTGAGCTGCCACCAGGGGCAGGGGACCTCCAATGTCACATGCCACTCACAAATGTCACTGATTTTTTCAAGCCCAGATTTTGCAGCA